GAAATACTGTATATCCCCCTTAAAAACACCCTAGCTGTAAATAAATCCATGCAGGTTAGTATTTCCTTATAACTAAAGCATCAGTTTACATATAAATGAACAAAATATTTGAGCATAGTTCATTAGCAAGGGGTTGAGGCTTTATTTCAGTTCAGCATTTTATCCTTAAACTTTGTTAAATGCTAAACAAATTCTCAATATGGTATCACTGAACAAACTATAATTAACACTATCCTTTCAGTTAGCAAAATTTTTGTGTGGCTAATTACAACTACTGTTGCTGGGGGCCAGGTTTCTGTAATTCATCTCTCTAACTAGAATTGCCAACGGTACAATTTATTTGCTAAAATATAGCAGTTAGGTAATTAATTATTTTCTTGTCACTGTCAGGCATTTCAGTGATGCCAAATCACTAATTAAAATGTTCCTTGACATTGGTGTCAGTGCTAATAGGATAAACAACTTGTACTTGCACAATAGTTTAACAACATTATATTAAAAATAGAAGATGCTTTTTAATGTTAAACATGCTGCCATAATGGGATCTCAGTGAGCATTTTTATGTCAATTGTATAACACTTATTTTATACGCCTTTAGTAATGAATATCATCAAGCAAATGTGCTGTAACCCCTGGGGGTCATCCATATGTTTGTGATTATAAGTCTAACAGTGAGGGTCGCATGTATCAAAAGACAATTTCTGAATGGCTGCTACCATTGACCTTATCTAACAAAAAAGAAAACTTGAATGTCACAAATTTTCACTTAAAGTGAATGCATTGTCTTTATATATATATATTATTATTATTATTATACAGTATTTATAAAGTGCCAATAGTTCACTCAGCGCTGTACATTACAAAGGGGGACAGAACATGTGACAGAACAATACCAATACAATACAAAACATGAGGGGATTGAGGGCCCTGCTCTTTCGAGTTTACAATCTAGGAGGGAGGGGATAGTGGTACAGGAGGAGATAGCTGTGGGGGATGGAGTGGTAGGAAGAGTGGAGAAGGTCGGCAAGTTAGCAGGGGGTGGGGTAGGCTTCCCTGAAGAGATGGGTTTTCAGGGTGCGCCTAAAGGAGAGGAGAGTAGGTGATAATCTGATGGGTTGGGGCAGGGAGTTCCAGAGGATGGGTGACACCCTGGAGAAGTCCTGGAGGCGGGCATGGGAGGAGGAGACCAGGGAACTAGAGAGAAGGAGGTCTTGTGAGGAGCGGAGTGTGTGTGCTGGGCGGTACTTGGATATTAGGTCAGTGATGTAGTTCAGGGCAGTATGGTGGACAGCTTTGTACGTCAGTGTTAGGATTTTGAATTTGATCCGTTGCGCAATTGGAAGCCAGTGGAGGGATTGACAGAGGGGTGTGGCGGAAACGGAGCGGTTGGAAAGGTGAATGAGTCTGGCAGCCGTATTCAGGATCGACTGAAGCGGGGATAGCCAGCGGCGAGGCAGGCCAGTGAGGAGGGAGTTGCAGTAGTCGAGTCGTGATATGATGAGGGAGTGGATGAGCTGTTTAATGGTTATATATACACACATACACCACAATATACCCCTTTATTTTTTAAAGCGCTGAGCAAACTGTTGGAGCTATATAAATCCTGTATTATAATAATAATAACGTACACACACACACTGTACATATACAGTATATATAAGCATAATATACATAATTACTTATTACAGGTTTTCCCACAATTCCTTGTTGGTAAGGCTGTTTTCAACAAAACAGTAAGTGAGGGAAAATTTATTTTGCGGAACTCCAGAATTCCAGATAGCAGTTAAAACTCAGCATTTTAGTCCTTCACCACTCAATCCAAAAACTGGAAAAAAAAAGTTTTAGGTTTGACATATACTTTAAAAGAGAAGGATGTCCAGAGCTTTTTGAAATACTTCTCTTGTGGGTCACAGGAGTGCAGTTACCTTTTTACTCCTGTGAACCAGAGTCAGCCAATGGCTGACTATAGCGTGCTATCAGCTGATGAGGCAAAGTTGCTCCAGCCTCTGGAAGGATCCCAGCAATATTTTTGGGATCCATTTGGCTGCCTGATTGACAGTTGGTTTCCTCATCTTGGCTGAGGAGTAGAGGGGAGAGCAGGGACTGACAGCCACTTCTCTTCATTCTGAGCAGACCAAGAACTGAGCGAAGTGGTGATGTGACTGCTCAGTTGTTGGTCTTATAGCCAAAATGGGACAGCTTCCTCATCACTCTGCTCTTGCTGTTGCAGCATTGGAGGTGAGTATGGATGTTTGTTTTTTTCATAACCCCATTCTTCTTCCTTAAAGTAGAGTTCCAATGCAAATGTAAAAAAAATAAAAGTCAACAGCTACAAAAGCTGTAGCTGCTGACTTTTAAAAAACAGCCACTCACCTGTCCCTCAATCCCAAGGTGTCCCCCCTGCAGCCTGTTTCATCGGCTGCCCTGTGTTCCCAATGCCGTCATCTTCAGTGTGGGCACCCGTCTGTGATAGCTTGTGGCTTCACATCCGGGTGCCCACTGTACATGCATGAGTAGTGCTGCATTTTCAAAATGGTCCTGTATTCTTCTGGGACCTGTCACGTGTCCCAGAAGACTACGGGGAGGGAGGACAACATCCGTTTCCGAACACGTAGGCGATCGCAGCAGAAGTGGGAGCGGGTACCTGCCAATTTTGAGTACCCGCTCCCCAAAGGTGCCAAACCTTAACGGGGAGTGGGGGACCAGTGCTTAAAGTGGAACTTCCCCTTTTGGGTGGAGCTCTGCTTTAAGCTCTGTTTGGTCTCTTGGAGGCACCTGCTGATGAACCCTGTATTGCACCACTTCAGTCCAGTTCCACAGGAAGGTACCCTAACTATCGTAAATGTACCTAACACTGCCCCCCTGCACATCACTTTTTGTGTCTTCTAAGAATGAGACTTCTGGTAATCTAAGTATTTTGGAATTAAAATATAGTGGTGTGTGAAAATGAAAATATCTACAGGGTCAGACTGTCTAGAAAATTACATTTCAATTTCAGCAGATGCAGGAAAGTTTAAACATTTGACAATTTGTTTAGTCTCTTAGGAAATTGGTTGGTGAGTTCTCTCTGCTTGGGTACCTGGGCCTGCACACCCACTGTGGCCAGGGCTGGGCTACCACTAGGCGAACTAGGCAGCCGCCTAGGGCGCACTGCCACCTAGGGTGTAGCCACAGCCACTGGTTCCCCTACTCTCCACCATGGCAGGATCTAGGGGAAGTGCTGGGGTGGCTGGAAAGTATTTGGGGAATTTGTCCTAGGTGGGGGGAACTGAAGAAATAGGATTAGTGCTAGGAGGGGGAATTTTGGGGAATTTGTGCTGGGAGGGGGAATTTGGGGGGATTTGTGTTAGGATAGGAGATTGGGATTTGGGGAAATTTGTACTAGTAGGGGAATGGGGGAAGGGAATTTGTGCTAAGAGAGGGGTGTGGGGGGTTGTGCTAGGAGGGAGGATTGGGATGGGGATTCGTGTTAGAAGGCGGGATTTGGGGGGGTGCTGGGGGAGGGGATTGGAGGGAATTTGTGCTGGGAGAGGGGGACTGGGGGGGTTTTTGTTAGGAGGGGGTATTGGGGTGGAAATTGTACTGGGGGGGGGATTGGGAGGGGTTGTCCTTGGAGAGGGGGATTTAGCTAGGAGGAGGGATTTAAAGGCATTTGTGTTGGGAGGCGGAATTGAAGGGATTTAAACTAGGAGGGGGATTTTGGGGTAGAGGATGTGTGTTAGGAGGGGTGAAGTTGAACTATAGGTGAAGTTTTATTTATTTTTTTGGGGGAGGGGAGCTTACAAGGAGCTGGTCTCGCCTATGGCACAAAATAGTGTAGCACCGGCTCTGACTGCGGTAATTACATGAGGTCCAACTTTCTCCTTTGGATTTTATTTATTCTAATTTAAAACTGAAAACAGGAAGTGCTGGTAAATTCAAAGGTGGATGAGGAAACCCAATTCTCAAAGATGAGCAGGGTTCATGGCAGGGAAATCTCACTGTTAGAGTCCACTAGGCTAGTCTCCTTATAGCTTATATTATCACTTTTGGGTGGAAAATGTAATATCTTGCAGTGAGTAGGAAAGCAGCAATCTTTCATTCTTCTGGCTGCTCCAAACTGATGACATTTTAAAAATATTTTTAAAAAATTGCCATATGTCAGAGCATCATTGGTCTTTGAATTACTTTATTAAATAAATATTATCATGAACTGTAAGTAATTTCTATTAGCATTGTCCTGCATTTTTAATGGTTTTATTGTTTTCATGATGTTGACTCCCCCGATCACACCAGTGTGCATTGTCATGCAGTTTGATTATTTCAAATTGCATGGCAAGTAGCATCCTATTGTCCACAGTGGAAGCAGTCAAATTGTTGCAGTCACACCGATTTTGAAAGTAGTTCATGCACTACTTTTTGCAAGTTCAGGTGCAACTTGCATAGACATCTGTGCATGAAGTCTCACAGATGTCTTCCATGTCACACCTGAAGTAGCACTGACATCTGACCTTGAAATCGTGCAATTTCAAGTGAAGTCGCACAATTTCAAAGTCGGATTTGGTGTGACCAAAGTCGTAGAAATGGTTCCCACAACACTTAAATAATTTAGCAATTACTTGTTTTTCTATGTGCTGCCAGTTACAATTGGTAGAAAAGTAAATGTTTTTACATGATATGTAAATACGTTTATACTATAAGAAAATAAATGCATTAACGGTTTGGTGTTATTTACATATTAAATGCATTTAATGAGAGTGGTCATACACATACTAGGTAGATTTCCATATTTATTGTTATCATATATTTTAGACTACTAGTATAGGTCTGTTTAATTGTGTTTATTATGCATTCTGCTAGATTTGTAATTATGTTGATGCACTGTGCACCATATGCTTGTGTTAATTTTTCCTTCCCAGGGCAATGTGTGCAGAAGCCATAATGTTTTTTAGGTTTGTCCTTAGCAAGGATAACAACCAGATCTATGCACCCTGCAGAGTTGGTGATGCTGCTATTTTAAAATGTGGCCATATGCTATAATGGTTTAGAATACAGATAAATTTAACTATGTAATATGTACATAATAGATGTCCACATACGCTATGTTGCCAAACGTATTGGGACACCCCTCCAAATCACTGGATTCAGGTGTTCCAATCACCTCCATGGCCACAGGTGTATAAAATCAAGTTCCTAGGCATGCAGACTGCTTCTACAAACATTTGTAAAAGAATGGGTCGCTCTCAGGAGCTCAGTGAATTCAAGCATGGTAATAAGTCCATCCATGAAATTTCTTTGCTACTAAATATTCCATGGTCAACTGTTAGTGATATCATAACAAAGAGGAAGCAACTGGGAACAACAGCAACTCAGTCATGAAATGGTAGGCCACGTAAAATGACAGAGCGGAATCAGCGCATGCTGAAAAAGCACAGTACGCAGACGTCGCCAACTGTCTGTAGCTAAGTCAATAGCTAAAGACCTACAAACTTCAAATGGCCTTCATATTAGCACCACAACAGAGAGCGTAGAGAGCTTTGTGGAATGGGTTTCCATGGCCGAGCAGCTGCATCCAAGCCTTACATCACCAAGCGCAATGCAAATGTCGGATGTAGTGGTGTAAAACACGCCACCACTGGACTCTAGAGTGACGAATCACACTTTTCTGTCTGGCAATCAGATGAACGTGTTTGGGTTTGGCGGTTGCCAGGGCAACGGTACTCGCCTGACTGCATTGTGCCAAGTGTAACGCTTGGTGGAGGGGGGATTATGGTGTGGGGTAGTTTTTCAGGGGTTTTTCACTTAATTCCAGTGAAGGGAACTCTTAAAGCATCAGCAAACCAAGACATTTTGGACAATTTCATGCTCTCAACTTTGTAGGAACAGTTTGGGGATGGCACACCAGTGCACAAAGCAAGGTCCATAAAGACATGGATGAGCGACTTTGGGGAGGTGGAACTTGAATTTAGGGAGACTTGTACTAGGAGGCAGAATTGGGGGGATTAATGCTAGGAAGGGGAATTTGGGGTAGAGGATTTGTGCTAGGGTGGAAAATTTGAGAGTAAAGAGGGTGTGTGCTACTAGGGATGAAGTAGAACTACAGATTACGTTTTTTTTTTTTTGGGAGCAAGTAGCTGGTCTCGCCTAGGGCACAAAATAGTCTAGCACCGCCCCTGCACATGGGTAATGCTGTCACTTGAGTTCAATTACAATGGAATGTGTCAAGGCAGATCTTGATTGTCCAAGAATTGGATGGAGAGTATGAAAGTTATGGAATCATGTAAATCGAAGACAGGGTGATTCCACAACACCACATATTATATTCTTAGACAATTAGTATCTGCCTTGACACATTCTGTGGTGATTGGATTAGGGTCGCTATGCTACCCCATATAAACGATGTGGTATGTTCCTGACACTCATTAGAACTTAAACATCTTCAACATTACAAATCAAGTCCTTTCGAGAGTGACTAAATTTTACTAGTTAAAGTGCTTGTAAACCGTCACATATACACAATAAAGTGACTTGCCTCAGGTGATAGACAGATGTCATACAAATCACCCTATGAAAATTGTATCTGTTTATCTACAGCCGTGTTACCCCTACATAGATTCAAAATGCAGAATTTACATAGGATCTATTCAGGATTTATTGTGAAATGGCTGTCGTCCCAGAAGGAATCCTCTTCTAAAGATGATGCACAAGAAAGACCACAAACAGTTTGCTGAAGACAAGCAGACTAAGGGCATGTATTACTGGAACCATGTCCTGTGGTCTGATGAGACCAAGATAAACATATTTGGTTCAGATGGTGTCAAGCATGTGTGGCGGCAACCAGGTGAGGAGTACAAAGACAAGTGTGTCTTGCCTACAGTCAAACATAGTGGTGAGAGTGTCATGGTCTGGGGCTGCATGAGTGCCGCTGGCACTGGGGAGCTACAGTTCATTGAGGGAACCATGAATGCCAACATGTACTGTGACATACTGAAGCAGAGCATGATCCCCTCCCCTCGGAGACTGGGCCACAGGGCAGTATTCCAACATGATAATGACCCCAAACACAACTCCAAGATGACCACTGCCTTGCTAAAGAAGCTGAGGGTAAAGGTGATGGACTGGCCAAGCATTTCTCCAAACCTAAACCCTATTGAGCATCAGTGAGGCATAGTCAAATGGAAGGTGAAGGAGTGCAAGGTCTCTAACATCCACCAGCTCTGTGATGTTGTCATAGAGGAGTGGAAGAGGACTCCAGTGGCAAGCTTTGGTGAACTCCATGCCCAAGAGGATTAAAAATATTGGTGGCCACACAAAATATTGACACTTTGGGTCCAATTTGGACATTTTCATTTAGGGGTGTACTCACTTTTGTTGCCAGCTGTGTAGATATTAAAGGTTGTGTGTTGAGTTACTTTCAGGGGACAGAACATTTACACTGTTATACAAGCTGTACACTCACTACTTTACATTGTAGCAAAGTGTCATTTCTCCAGTGTTGTCACATGAAAATATAGAATAAAATATTTAAAAAATGTGAGCGGTGTACTCACTTCTGTGAGATTATATATATATATATGGAAATTATCCATGCTGCTTATAGTAGGTACTGGTAGGTACTGGTAACACTACAAGAAACCAATCCAGGATAGATTAGATGATGCCCAGGAGTGCCTGAAAAGCCCCCACTAAAAACCAGGATATGGTCATGGTCCATGCAAATATGGTTACATTGCAATAAATACAGACATAATTATCCCAACTTGATCTTCATCAACTGTACTGTGAAAAAGAATTCCTTTTTAACTTGGTCTACTAGAATAAAGAAACAGTTATCTTTTTACATCGTTACATGCCCCCAGCAAGCTTACTATGAACAGTATGCTTTAAAAAAAAAAAAACAATTACCATGTTCTGTCAATAGTAGAGCTGATCTAGGCTGTCAGAGGTAGTTGTGTGGGATATCATGCTGCCCTGATTAGAATTTGCACCTGAATGTTGCAGGTTTTTAGTTACACATTTTGTTATAGGTGTTGTCAACCCTGAGATGTGATGAAACATAAAGATAATAGATTACTTTACTGTTTTCTTTTTTATGTTATCTACAGACAAGCTGTTCAGCTAACATCATACATTTACTGACACCCATATTATACATATTTAGAAACTAGATGTCTTAACAGTCTTGAAAAAATACATTCCATTTGTTAAATAACTGAAAAAAATAGGTCCATTAGTACTGATTCAACAATGAGATATATCTGCAGAATGATTATTTATCTTACATTCTTTATGGTGTCAGACCATCTGGAAAATCACAGCTTAAGTGGTAAAGTATAGCTGCTACAGAAAAAAAATATACAGCATTTAATCATAACACACACACACAAATGTACACTATATTGCCAAAAGTATTTGGGCGCCTGCTTTTACATGCACATGAACGTTAATGGCATCCACGTCTTAGTCCTTAGGGTTCAATATTGAGTTGGCCCACCCTTTCCTGCTATAACAGCTTCAAGTCTTCTGGGAAGGCTGTCCACAAGGTTTAGGAGTGTGTCTATGGGAATGTTTGACCATTCTTCCAGAAGCACATATGTCAGGCACTGATGTCGGACGAGAAGGTCTGGCTCGCAGTCTCCGCTCTAATTCATCCCAAAGGTATTCTTTTGGGTTTAGGTCAGGGCTCTGTGCAGGCTAGTCAAGTTCCTCCACCCCAAGCTCACTCATCCATGTCTTTATGGACCTTGCTGTGTGCACTGGTGTGCAGTTATGTTGGAACAGGAATGGACTATCCCCAAACTGTTGCTACAAAGTTGGGAGCATGAAATTATCCAAAATGTCTTGGTATGCTGACACCTTAAGAGTTCCCTTCACTGGAACTAAGGGGCCAAGCACAACCCCTGAAAAAACAATCCCACACCATAACCCCCCCCCCCAAAAAAAAAATTATACTTGGCACAATGCAGTCTTGCAAGTACCGTTCTCCTGGCAACTGCCAAACCCAGACACGTCCATTGGATTGCCAGACAAAGAAGCATGATTTGTCACTCCAGAGAACACGTCTCCACTGCTCTAGAATTCAGTGGTGGCCTGTATTACACCACCACTACATCCGATGCTTTGCATTGCACTTGGTGACTTAAGGCTTGGATGCAGCTGCTCGGCCATGGAAACACTTTCCATGAAGCTCTCTACGCACTGTTGTTGTGCTAATCTGAAGGCCACATGAAGTTTGAGGGTCTTTAGGTATTGACAGTTGGAGACTTCTGCGCACTTCAGTATGCATTGACTCCGCTCTGTCATTTTACATGGCCTACCACTTCATGGCTGAGTTGCTGTTGTTCCCAGTTGCTTCCACTTTTTGTTATAGTACTACTAACAGTTGACTGTGGAATATTTAGTAGCAAGGAAATGTCACGGATGGCCATATTGCACAGGTGGCAACCTATCATAGTACCACAATGGAATTCACTGAGCTCTTGAGAGCGACCCATTCTTTCACAAATGTTTGAAGATGCAGTGTGTATGCCTAGGTGCTTGACTTTATACAGCTGTGGCCCTGGAGGTGATTGGAACTGGAGGTGAATCAAATGAAGGATGTTCTGATACTTTTGCCAATGTAGCTTTTATATTTGAGGATTGGACAAAATTATGGAAACACCAGGTAAAAGAACAACATTGTTATGGTATGGTAATACCTAATATGGTATTGTACTGCCTTTGGCATCCAAGACAGCCTGAATTATCCTGGAAATTGACAAATATAAGTCTTGGATGGTGAATAATGGAATCTGATACCACTCTTCATGCAAAAATTGTGTCCAGTTCTCACAGACATGCTGGCTGCAGAAAACTAGTCCAAATCTTGTTTTCCAAAATTGACCATAGTGGCTTTATGATATTGACATGTGGTGACTGCATCGTCAAGGAAAAGTGAGAGACTTTGTCTGCATGCTTGTCAAACCACGATTTGACAATACCAGCTTTGTAAATTGGAGCATTATCATCTTAGTAAATGGCACTGTCTCACAGAATCTGGTGCAGCTGTGCATAGTAACCAATCAGCTTTCAGGTTTTATTGTCAAGGCTTAACTGAAAAAGCGGAAGTTAGAAGCTGATTGGCTACCATGCACAACTTCACCAGATTCTGTGACCAGTTTTAGTAAACTTCCCTGCATGTGAAGCTCAATTCACCTAACCATATTACAGTCCTCAATTGATCAATAGTCCATGATTTATGGGCGTTTGTCAGGAATGGACTTGCCAATAATGGTGGGACTCACCTGCCTTGTGGGCTGCAGTACCAGGGCTGGCCAGCGGGTGCTCTCAGCAATCAGAGACTCACCCCTGCAATCAGCCAAACACCTGAAGCTGATTGCAGGGGTTGTTATTTAAGGAATGGCCAGACTCACAGTCAGGGCCTTGGTGTGTGTTTTTTCCATGGGCCCCTGTACCTTGTATCCTGTATTCCTGTTCCTGTTCCTGTCTGACTTGTTGCCGACCCTGCCTGATTCTGACCTCTGCTGACTTCTCCTGCTTGATCCCTGGCTTGTGACCCTGACCATTCTCTGCCTGACCCTCTGTACCACGCTGCCCATGAGTTACTGAACCCATCTTGTGACCCCGACCACTCTCCCGCCTGTTCCTGGTACTCCGTTTGCCCGTTTGCTACTGACCCGGCCTGCCTGACTACTCTTTGTATTGTATGTATTGTTATCGGTGGGTGGTTTGGTTTGTTTGCACTGTGTTTATGTTTAGTTTTGCACTGCGTTTTGTATTGCTAGTCTTAATAAATTAGATTGTTTATACCATATCTGAAGCCTGCGTTTCCCTGTGTCAGTCCACACACCTCTGGTCATACCTGCAGCCCTGACAGCGTTGCACCACTCTCTCCTCTTCTGAGCATCAATATTGATCACTATTGGTCTGGCAATTGCAGCTCACCCATGAATGTTTTGCTTATGGACTTCCCTCCGCACAGTTTTTGTAGACACAGGCTTTGGAAGACAGATTGAGTTCTGCAGTTCCTTTTGCAGCAGTTTCTTATTTCAGGTCACAATCCTGAACAATGTCCTTATTTCTCTTTTGGTCAGTTGACCATATAGATTACATTTATCAGACGTTTTCCCAAAAACTGTTAATGCCATCATAAGCTTTGATACTGTACCTCGTAACGCTGCAAATAAATTGTCAACTTCAGTCACAGAGGCTTCCTACCTGTTAGCTAGGTGTTTCATCACACAGCGGAAGTGAAAGAATTTGACATCACTTCCGCGAAACATGTCATCACTTTCACACCTGCAGATCGTGTAGAGTTCCCATATTTTTGTCCTACCCTATATATATATATATATATATATATATATATACATATGTACACACACATACAGTATATATTGTATGTATTGTAGTAGTTTGGCAGGTGAAACTGGATCGCAGGATCATAAAAGGTGTAATTGTCATCCAGGGTTCTCTCTCATATAGAGTGTACAGCTCCAGGACATTTTCTTTAAATAAATTCTTTATATGTATTGTAAAAGAGAGATACAATGCAAAAATAAGTCACATAAGGAAAAGGGGGGATGGGGTTTGCTTGCTCATCCAATCCATACTAGTCCACATGCCCTCACCCGTTTTTATTTTTTTGTATACTTTTTTTTGGTGAATACTATGTACTCCATACTCATTCACATGGGGGGGGGGGGGGGGGCTGGGATCTGAGGGCCTCCTTGTCAAAGGAGGCTTTCAGATTCCAATAATCCCCACACACGCAGACCCCCCACAACCACCACCCATGGTTATAGGGAAGAGGCCCTTGTCCCCATCAACATGGAGAGGGAGCCCCCCTGTCCCAAAGCAACTCTCCATGTTGAGGGCTTGTGGCCTAGTATGGTTCAGGAGGGGGGCTCTTGCTTGTTCTCCCCTTTCCTGGCCTGCCGAGTAGCATGTTTGGATAAGGGTCTAGTATGGATTTTGAGGGGACTCCATGCCATTTTTTAAATGTTTTGGTGTGGGATTCCTCTCAAAATCCATAATAGACCTGCAGAGCCTGGTAAGGATTGAGGGCGTGGGACCCACACATTGTTTTGTTTTTTTTAAATTTATAAATCCAGCATTGTTTATTTACATACTGCGGTCAGCAGGGGATCTCTTTGGCAGCACATGACTCATAGTTGTTAAGGACATGGCAGCTGGCAGCCTGCTCCTTATCACCTAGATATTCTTCACAATGAATTTGAATCAATTCAATATTTCTGATTAGATTCTAAAACTCCTGAAAAATTTAAATCCATATGAAAATGAATTAACAAAACAAAATGAAACAAATTTCATTATGAATGCAACAAAACTAAATTAGTAACATAACGAATCATTTGGAAATGAAACAAAATGATTTTTATTCTTCCTCGATGTCTAGTAGTGTCTCTAAGGGAACTTGTGACATCCTCCATGAGTATAATATAATTGATTCTGTCAAACTAATGTTTAACAGAAGGCTGATTGGATTGTCTCCATAGTGCAGGGATGCATGCCTGGGCAGTGCTGATCATGTGAATCAGAACAGAATGCTTGAAAGTATTGATCGGTATGGTATTGTGGTGGAGTAGGAAAAATTTGGGGGTCCTAGGCACTGTTGGATAATAGTAGGATTTGGGACTAATAAACAGCAAGCTTAGGGCAGGACTAGAAGATACAGAGAATACCCCCAGTATCATATCCCCATTTTTAGTATGCGATGGAGGTAATTGGTTAGAAATCAATGAAGTGTCTGGGGCATCTGATACCAACGCATTATGATCTTATACCCCGACTCCTGATATTTATTACAAATTGATGACAGGGATAAGATATGTTTTTTCTCATTCGGAATACATATGAAGTCAAGATTTCTTTCCCAGTGTTTTATATAAGGTGGGGGAAAAGTAAGGTCTATTCTTTGGAACAGTTTTTAGAAGAGGGAAAGAGTATATCTAGCAGGGCTTTTTAAAGCAGCATATCCTTTCAAAAAGGATTAAGGGTTGTTTAAAAAAAGAGATGCTGGAGGGAGTGAGGACAAAAAGTGTAGAAGCAGTTTCAATCTCCATGTGCCCACGGAAGCCAGATTCAGGACATGTGTTGTACGTAAATAGAACAAGCTTGTTCATTTTCTTAGGGCAAAGTAAATCCTCATTTGGGTCCTGGAGTCAGGAGGATATGTAAAGACTTAGGAGGGGTGAAGTCTCCAATCCTAGGTCCTTATTTTGTGAGCAACCAGCTCCCACTGATTGTGCAGCTGTGCACAATCCCTTTTAGCCTGGAATGACTGTGGCTGAGGGCTTCGCCATCTCCAGGAGTCCACGTGGCTGCAAGGGAGCTGCCAGAGGTGCATTTCTACACAGAGAGTTTGAACTGTGTGTTGTGGGTTGCTGGAAAACCCCTTTGCGGGACACTTGTGCATCTTGTGAGCTTTCATTTAATACAAGTGGACAAGGAAAACCCTACAAAGTAGAACTTGTGAGTGGCCGAGTCTTTGGAAGTTCTATCTTCAGCTAATCTTCCATATATATACTGCATATGTACAATGGCTTCTTCAACAGATTCACCTTCATCTCTACTGTTTATCATTAGACTGGTTCAGGTTTATACAAACTTAAACTCCATCCAAATGCAAACATACAGTATAACTGAATAATAATATGACTTGAAGAAAACATGTATCTTTTACTTTTCTCATATCTCTTATTAATAGTAGATGCCATGTAATCTGAGAAAACATAATTTTCTTAATGTACAAATTTTTGCAATTTCAGTAATAATGACAGATCTTATATGTTATTTTAGAAACACAGATGAAAAACACATGTGCCATTTAGGATTAATATAAGTGCATGACATCTAGAATTCCCTTTGGATGCAGGTGTAGATTTTGTATGTCAATAATTGCATATTTCCATCTAAAATATTATTAGCATGTAAAACTGAGCTAAATCTAACATTGCTGGAATGCTTCTTGCAGTGCATTGGATACATCCTTGGCAGTATTGAATTTTTACCTATTAAGAAAGTAATATAAAAAGATTGCTATATCTTATATTCCCCCAGGCAATGGCAAGCGAACATTTACATCACATATTGAATTAAATGGCAATATGGATTGTCTAGATAAAACATAGAACACTTATTCTCATTAATAACTTTGTTTCATCACACTAAATTGAATTTATGTTTTTTCTACTATATATGATTCCACATAGATATGCAGACTGGCAGCAAGGAGTAAACTCTGCACACATAAAACATATGACAATATGGAGTGCCTAGCACAATTACATAGCAAACACACCGAATGTTGCTGAATTCTGTCATGAAATGTTCTCATGATTGATTTCCTTTAGATATAGTAATCGCTGTGTTTGTTCAGTGCTCACATTGTCAGAACAACAGATGTATCTATAAATAACTCACAATCAAGATTGATCTGTTTAATAATGGACGTTCTTTTCATGTGCAAATGGTTGAAAATTATATTTATGCTTTTTTTTCTACCAAGAAAGCATGCATGGTTTTGTGCACTTCCAAGGTCTATTCCAGTGACAACACGATGCCTGTGACATTACAACATCCATTCTCATTAACCTAATGACAGGTTTCAGATTTAGACCTTTCTGTAATAAAACTGAAGCATTAGGGAAACGTAAAACTCACAGCAGCTATTTTATTGGTACATTTCATTGAATTTGTGTCCACTTCAATCAGTGTAATAATTTACATGGTCATACCATTTTGCCTGCAGGCTCTTTCCACGGAAAAAGATTTTATATGCAGACAATAATAAAGACATATTGATTTTTTTAGACTAGAAAGTGATTATTATATTTTGGGCCATGTTCAAAAACTAGCTTTCCATTTAAAATGTTGTTTTGATTTTTTTGTTCCCATTAGCAGAATCATTTTGTGGATATTAAGCAGCTTCTAATATGTTTTGATCCAAGGAAAACAATAATGCCGTATCTTGTTATAAACAAAATGAGAAAAAACGTTGGCTACTATGACTTTAGTATATTTGTATATGTGCAGTCGTGGCCTTGTGTCATCATGTGGTGCTGCCGATAATAGTCAGGTGGTATGACATTTTCAGCAGGTGCACAATTAAATGTTGACTTCAGGCAACATATAACATTGTTTACTGGATTGCTAAAGCCTTTGAGGGACCATTTCAGCTGGACTTCATTTAGAAAGCCCCCTTAGCTTACTTAATGTGGAGGTTTATTTAAACTCCCCGTGAACTCTTTCACAGTGCATCTAACTTGAGAGTGCAGCCTCGTACCAATCATGATGTGCAATGCATGTACAAGATGGGGACTTTCACCCCAAAAGGGCTTAATATCGAAATATATTTAAACTGTTTCATTTCTAATTGGTAAGATTATATTTGGAGAGGTTAATAACATACTTAATAGGTTAAATGGTCTAAGGATGGATTGAAAATATTTTTTTTTATATAACCAATTTTGTTTTGTAATTTTTTTTTGCAATTTTTTCTGTTAATTTTATCTGTAATTTTTTTCATATTTTGTTTACTTGGCATTCTTAACCATATATTGTCATTGGCTAAAAAGAACAGTAGGGGGCATTGAGAACAGTAGTACAAACAATTTATGTGCAATAAAATAATAATTTTATGTGTAATACAATTTTATGTGTAATTTAGGTCTATTTTTAAAATGTATTATAATTATAGTTTATTTGGATTGATGAAAAATTTAATTATGGTATAATTTGTTGTTAAATATATTGAGGTTGGGATATCTACTGTTTTGGGTGGACAGGAAGTGCCATTACCATTTGTGATACAGACAGGAACAGGAATTTGACAACGTGCATGCGCACAAATGCTTCAGAAGGGAGCGTTGCCGCATTGATGTCACGCTGCAGAGGCTGCATGGAAGGTCGGTGGCCATCTTTGTCCCAGCTGACAGCTGTTTTTTTGGATTCTTCCTTTTGCTTTAATAATAAAAATACAACACTCTCAGCACTTTTCGTTTTGTCGCTTGTGTTTGCCACCCATTTAAGGTGGAGAACAGCCCCTTTTTGGCTATTTTGTCCTGTGGTGGAGAAGTATTATGGAGCTGTTCCTTTGTACTGAGAGGGTCCTGTGAGTGAGGTCTGGAGTTATTCCTTGTATGATGTCAGTGTGCCAGATGATTCCTATTCCTTACCTGAACCCAGATGACCACTGAGGATAATTATATACAGTGAGGAACAGAAGTATTTGAACACCCTGCGATTTTGCAAGTTCTCCCACTTAGAAATCATGGAGGGGTCTGAAATTCACATTGTAGGTGCATTCCCACTCTGAGAGACAGAATTAAAAAAAAAAAATCAGAAAATCACATGAATGCTTTTTAAAGAATTTATTT